GTAACAGAACTAAACGCTAAATGTAACACTTAAACGTAGCGCTTACGTGTAACGCTTAAATGTAGCGCTTAAACGTAGCGCTTACATGTAACGCTTAAATGTAGCGCTTAAACGTAGCGCTTACATGTAACGCTTAAATGTAACGCTTAAACGTAGCGCTTACATGTAACGCTTAAACGAAGCGCTTAAATGTAACGCTTAAATGTAACGCTTAAACGTAGCGCTTAATTATTTGAAAACTACATGGTATGTGTGTTGGAACAAAACTGTACAGGGCTCCGGCCCTCCAGGAATTGAGTTTGACACCCCTGGTCTAGACCAACTAAAGACCAATGAAGACTAGATAGAAATGGTCTAGTTAGAATCGCAGTCTTTCTATCCATTGAATTCCATTGAAACCCCTTCTTTCTGTCTCAGGGAATCATTCTGGGCGTCGTTCTGTTTCCTGTCCGCATCACCCTCGCCACCCTCTTCTTCCTGCTCATGTGGCCCATCGCTCGGCTGCGACTGGCCGGTCTGTCGGAGGCGGAGCGGGCGGAGCCTGTGCGGGGCTGGCGTCGGTGGCTCTTCCATCACATCATGCTCTTACTCAGCCGCGCCGTCTTCTTCTCCGTGGGCTTCCTGTGGATTAGGGTCAAAGGGCGTCAGGCGAGACTGAAGGAAGCGCCAGTTTTAGTCGTAGCGCCTCACAGCGGCTTCCTGGACATGCTGGTGCTTTGCGCGACGGGTCTGCCGATGGTCGTGTCGCGGTCGGAGAACTGCAGACTACCCGTCATAGGAGGTGAGGTCGAGAAGTTCCTTCAACAAAAACCCAATCCAGAACCCACTGGCTTTTGGGTTATTGCAAAAAAGACCTCTGTAAGCCGCAAAAGCTTATGGTTCTTGCACGTTTTGTTTATCGTGATAATATTCACCAATTAACGCAACTTTTGAAGCCTAAATACAACCGTCAGACGTAAAAAGGTGAACACAGGCTACAAACAAACTACACCACCAATGTCACCATAACTTTATATTTAGTCTTTAAGAACATTTTATCTAAAATTGGAGTTAGAGTCATTTGCAACAGTGCAATTATCATCTGTAAAAGTAATGCATTTCTTATTAAACAAGACTTCTTTTTAAAAAGTAACAGAGATCTGTTGGAAGTTGTGTTTTCAAACTTTGAAGCATCATACGAGACATTTACATATAGAGGCTGGAGTGACGTATTGAGTTCCATTCAGTTTATTCCTTAAATGTTCTTTACTTGGTTTTACCTTCATCAAACCTGTAGAAACCCTGAAGACAAGAAAAATCACAATCTTACTGATGGATTTAATGTTGTAGAAGCAAACATGAAAATATCTTGAGCTTGTGTTCAACGCAGACCTTATTTCAGGCGTTTAATCACAAACCCATTAAAAAAACCCATTGACTTTAGGATGATGGAAGCAGAAAGTGCTAAAATGCAACTGTTTCCAGGTTTTGGCCAACAAAAGTATATTATCTCTGCTGCGCTCTATAGCAGCTTTGCCAGAGAAAAGAACAAAAATCATTCAAATCGAACATCAGTCAATGAAAATCCTTCTGTAAGTCTGCTTGTTTTGTTTTTAAGGAAATTTGGATAAAAGCATCTGCTAAATGAATAAATGTGAATATCTCCGTGTGTTTTACTGTCTGTCAAATTCTGTTCAAAAACGATCCAAACCCAGGCTCTAATGACTCTCTGCTGATCTGTGTTTGTGTTCCAGCGCTGTTGGAGTTCAATCAGTCTGTGTTAGTGAGTCGAAAAGATCCTGAATCCAGGAAGAAATGTGTGTCTCAGATCTGTGAGAGAGTCACGTCTGACGGCCGCTGGCCTCAGGTAAACACACACACTCACGCACTCACACACACACTTACTCACGCTTACATGTAACGCTTAAACGTAGCGCTTACATGTAACGCTTAAACGTAGCGCTTACATGTAACGCTTAAACGTAGCGCTTACATGTAACGCTTAAACGTAGCGCTTACATGTAACGCTTAAACGTAGCGCTTACATGTAACGCTTAAATGTAACGCTTAAACGTAGCGCTTAAATGTAATGCTTTAGTGGAGCGGCCCGCGTGTTTGATGTTCTCCTCCGAAGCCTTTGCCAGAATATAAAAACAGCTAAATATAATAGTTCACAAGGGTTTGTGAAGCATGTTTGTCAAGCATTTATTTTGATTGCATTAAAATAAGACCTATTTGTGCTTTAAATGTAATTTAAACAGAAATACGTCAACTCTGTCTTGTTTTAGGTAAAACATTGTATTGCAACTTAACTGCAACCAAAATGTAGTATTGTAAAATTATATATATTTGTGTTTACTGTCATCTTGAAAGTCTCATATTAACTTAGTATGGGCTTGTAGGCAACTGAATCGTTGTATTTTGGCTAAAACTGTGGTTACTGTTCATTTTTCAGTATTTCCTTTTATAATTATGACTTGCTAGCTTATTTCAGCTTACATGTTAAGTCAAGTT